ATGTTGGAGCGAGGCGAACTCTCAAGACCAAACAGCTTCTAGGTCATTGCGCGTCACAACATAGCAATACGGCGGGCCGTTCGTGTAATAAATGCAGTTCTTTTCAGAATATTCATCTCAAATGTAAATAAAAGTAATAAACAACAATGTTAAAAAGTTCACTGGGAAATGAACTTGGTTGGTACGTGATCAAATCTTCTGAGAAGCCCTTCGGGCTTCACAGGATTTGATCACGTGACCAACCAAGTTCATTTCCCAGAGAACTTTTTAACATTGTTGTTTATTTCTTAAATATCCGTATCAATATAGTAATTACAATCTGCGGATAACAGATACGCTGCATAAAGGGAGGTAACTATGTACATGATTTACATACAATCAATGCCCCCTTTCAATATTACGCTTTGAAAAATATAAAAACACTAATATCATAAATATCATACCAATCTATGGGACTGAGCCTCTCCCATTCATTGTAGTCACAATATGGCTCACTGTACACGTATGTCCAGATCATAAAACTACAAATTATCATAGTTTACATAAGTAAACCTATCATCATAAAAACATCTAGTAGATATATATAAAATAAAAAATACTTTCAATAAAATAGTTACTCCTTAATTACTGTCTCTCAAATCAGATTCTGACTGTGCTAGTGCTATGGAATTAACTTTGGCAAAATTACAGATTTTACAGTTAAATCAAATATTAGAAATCATATTAGAATTAGTATATAAATGTTATCTTACCTTAAGAGAGAAAAGTATTGTCTCTGTCAATGTCAGAAAGTCATAATTATAAAACTTGGTAAATACAACCCTTTCTGGACAAATACTGGACAAAGAATGACCATAACAAACAACAACTTTTTGGAGGGAAAAATACTGAACCAATAAAACACAACCTTACAAAGTCCAAACCAATGAAAACAGTGAATACTTCAAACCAAAGACCAAAGACCAGAACCTTCATAACCCAAGGCAATAATAATTAAGTACAGGTACTGCCTGTTCTACTTGGGTGACCTTTAAAGATTTAATAATGCATTTATATTTACAATTTAAAAACATATGAAATACATTATAGATTTATTAAATAAATTAATAAATCTAATACTGTAACAAAATTATGCCCCGAAACACCTTATTTGACCAAGCTAAAGTTATAAAGCATCATTAAAGGAATTTATTTCTCAAATTTGAGAAATCTGTAGGCACCTTTCATATACTAGATCTTGATCTTAAAAGCGTCAACAGTATAAACACTTCGTATGTATACAGAGGCTGCGCAACCCAGTCCAACCTTGTGCTAGATTTATAACAACGTCATAAATAGGAATATCCTATTTTCATCAAATACATGTAACAGTGGGTTTTTTTTTCAATTCTTGTAATGTTTCCATGGGCGCTTGGGTCAAGGATAATATGCATATTTTCTATATAATACATACATACAAGAGGAAATTCGAACTATATTCGTAACTTTTTTTTTCAATGCACAGTGTTAATTTTTAGTTTTTCGTAAATCTTTCTGCTTGATATACACTAGACTGCCACAGAAAGTTGATATTTAGCACGTTTTAAAAATGACATATCCCAGCTGTATACTAAGAAGAAACATATACAGCGGGGATATGGAATTCCATATACGACAACCAACTGCAAAAGTCACTGCTCTTAGATGATACTCCTTGTTTTGTTTTCTTTAATATTTTAAATACGCATGCTTAATTGAATAAACCCTATGATAGATTACACTGATAACAAAAATTGGGGGATTCCGGAATTTTTTAACGATGAAGGCGTGGAAGAAATAAATAGGAAGAATGAATTTTTCCTCTTATATACAAAACATCTAATTCCGATATTTCCTGGCAGGCAAATAATTCAATAGTTTTTTTTTTTTTTTTTTGGACGAGGGATTGGTTTTTTGACAGGGGAGAGATTAAAGGCTTATATGCGTCAGAAAAAGGGAGGGAGACAAACTTTTAGTAGGATCTTTGGTAATATTTGTTGGTATATGGCATTTATATCAGAAATACTAATTTAAAAAAATCATAACACAATGCATTTTACTATATGTAAAAACAGCTGAGCTTAGGCAAAGAAGCAGTGGGGGGGGGGGGGGGGACAACCCAACATGAATCCCTTGACAAGGAATAAAAAAATGTCACAGGCGTCCTTATTGAGGAAGTACTACTGTATAGTATATGTTGGAAATTTAGTGGGAACACCCCCCCCCCTCCATCACCACGAATGTCTTCTAATATTAGCCATTAAAATGATTTAAATGAGACACGTATGCAAGTTCTTTTCATAGGGTAAAAAGAACACACTGAAAGACATTGCTACATGTATATATTTTACACTAGGCAAAAGTTATGTTATTATAATTTTCAGTATTTTTTTTTTTCTAGTATAAATACATATACGAACAAATGTTACTCAAGACCCTATAAAAAGTTTGTTCTTTTGTCGTATGTAACCCCCCCCCCCACTTAAGAACCGCCCTCCCCCCCCTCCCCGCCTCCAAATAGCTATTGAATTATTTGCCAGCAAGGAAATGTTGGAATTAAATGTTTCGTTTTTGAGAAGAAATACTCATTCTTCCGATTTACTCTTTCCTGGCCTTTACAGTTTCAAAATTCCTTAAGTCATCATTTTTTGTTATTATTGTAAGAACTACGCACGCATACTCTCGATTCCCGCCTACATTTTCCATCCATTTAATTCAATATAAATAGCAATTTAGCCATTAAAACTTGTTTGAATGGAAAGAAAAGTTCATTAGTAATTGACTGATAATTTTGAAAACCAGTGTTAAAAAGTTAATTCTTATTTAACACTCCTTTCATAAGCGGGTGAAAGATTTTATCAATTGAAATCAGTCTGAAAACATCACCAGATTTTCAAATACCCATGAACAGGCCCGTAGGAAGCAATTCCAGTGTGTGTGTGTGGGGGGGGGGGGGGGGGCACGGCCATACATTTTCAGTTGAGGGGGCACTATCAACTACCTAAAATTCCTTGACAAGCAAAAACAGGTCCTCAGACGTTTTCATCGAGGGGGGACAAGTATATAGTAGCTATGTTTTCTATAGTACTATAATCTATATATCGAAAAATTATTGGGGGGCACACACCCCTGCCCCCCCCCCCCCCCGGTTCCTACGGCCATGAATGGAAATGGATAAAAGACTCTAAAATCTCCCCGTTTGTTTAACTTATGTAAAATTGAAAATGTCAGATTGAAAAAGTACATTTCTTATTTGTCATCTCATTTGAAATTGGTAATGAAATGATTATTTTCCTGTTTTTAGGGGGGTGTTTTGAAAATAGATTTCCGTTTCCGTTGATTTCTATAGTGAAAAACATAAGTTTTACAAACCAAAGACATAAATCTTATAATCTTATAGTTACGTCTTATGAAAATTCACATGAATATATCTGTATAAATGAGAAAATTCATCCAAATATGTGTGGCAGTTGGCAGTAAGCAGTGAGCAGCTGGCAGTAAGCAGTTGGCTTTCGCATACATGGAATTCCATATTATGGGATATGGGTTTTTGGGGGGGGGGGGTTGTTTTTTTTCTTTCTGTTTTTGGTTTTTTTTTTGTTTTTGTTTGTTTGTTTGTTTGTTTTTTAAATACTATATAAACCCTAGTCTCCTAACAGTTTTGGTCTGATACATAATTCTATGTATCTTTTCTATTATTTCGATGAACGGTGTTGCCATGGTTACTGAAAATAGAAATTTCTGTAAAATACTCTTCCTACAGTTTTGGTGTGATTTCAATATAACTTTGCACAAAAGCAGATTACACTAAGATAAATAATTCATTATGTAGGTTTTTGATTTCGTCGAAGTTTCAGAACGTTGTTGATAGCAATTTCTGTGAAATACCTTCAGAATCTTCTCCTACAGTTTTGGTCTGATTTCATTATTAAAATAACTTGGCACACAAGTAGACTACACTAAGATACGTAATTCTGGCTATCGTTTTTTGATTTTGGTAAATGCTGTTTCGTTGGCTACTAAAAACTAGAAATTTCTGTAAATTACTTTCTAAACGCTACTGCTAATAAAGATTTGGTCTGATTTCAAAGTTTGATATGTAACTTGGCACACAAGTAGATTACACCAAGATACATAATTCTATTTATTGGTTTTTGATTTTTTTGCAATGTTTAGTAGAGAGAATTTTCTGTGAAATACTTTCAAAATGCCATGAATACTAAAAATAGAAATTGTTTGAAGTTAATTCAAAACGGTACTCCTTCTACAGTGTTAGTGTGATTGCAATTAATCTTGCCAGAAAAGAGACTAAATCAAGGATTTATTTGCAATTGCCGTTTTCAAGACCAAGTGCTACTTTTCTCTTTCTTTGTTTTAAGTACGAACCAGTAGAGCTACAGTCTCGTCAGAGACTTCTGCTTAACTTAACATGTATGTTTTAAGACCCATAGTGACCTTTTCTTAAAAGAACCAAAGCGTTTTTTATATGTTATCCTATAACCTTAGAGTTTCCGGTATGTGGGTCACTTGGATCTGTGGGTCAATACGAAAGAGTATGCTCTACGTACGAACAATTTCTACAGAAGGCAAGCTATTGAAAAACAAGTTGATGAAACAAGAATATCAACATTCTCGTTTAAAGTCATCATTCTGCAAGTATGGTCATTGTTAGGTCATTTTTTACACACAGAATTGTCTAAGGTTTTTTCCTTATTTTTCCCAATCATGATAATGAGCATATGGCGGGTGTGACCGGTCGGCAGGGGATGCTCAATCCTCTATGGCACCTGATCCCACGTCTGATGTTTTAGAAATCCATGTTTGCTCTGTTCCTAATCTGAGCTATAATACTGTTCGTTATCTACATATCTAATTCAATATTCATTGAAGAGTTTTGGCCTTCATAACTAATACACCATATCCAGTTTATCGTTTTTTTTTTTTTTGTTCCTCAATAGATTGAAACACACTTAAAAAATCAAATCAGCGAGCACGGTTTATTTATACAAAACATACACATGTACATCAAACATCAGCAAATATAGCAAAGTACATACATTCAAGCAAATACCCACACAGTGTACGGCAAACAGATATCGAGTCTGGAATATGTACATGTACAGATAACGAAATAAGGAAAATTGGAAAAAATAGATAAAAGATAAATGCAGACTGGTATATAATTTCTATTTAAAAGACCATCTATAATCATATAGCACTATTGCTCTGTATATATTGAATGTCTTGCAACACTGTTTCGTAAACAAGAAAGGCCATGGGCCGCAACGCTCACCTGATTAACTAATATGGTCCTCCTGTTCGTCACCAGCAGATTTTCCAATATATATTCCAATGAAAAATTTGATGATATATTGTGGCCCCACCTTACCCCGGGAGTCATGACTTGAACAAACTTGAATCTACACTACCCGAGAATGCTTTGCTATTCTTGAGAAGAATTTTTTTAAAAAGATTTTCCTATAAACTAGTATTCTTATGTAAAACTTTAATCGCCCTTTGCGGCCCCGCCCTACCTCCGGGGGTTACGAGTTGAGCAAATTTGAATCTACATTATCCTAGGATGCTTCCATATGATTGATCATGGCTTTGCTCTTCTTGAGAAGAAGATTATCCCTATATATTCCTCTATAAAACCTTAATGGCTTATTCAATTTTGTGGCCCAACCTTACCAAGGAGGTCATATTCTGAACAAACTTGAATCTCGCTACCTTAGGATGCTTCCACATAAGTTTCATCTTTTCTAGCCCTGTGGTTCTTGAGAAGAAGATTTTGAAAAGATGCCATTAATTTTCACTAATTCTTGATTATCTCCCATTGAAATAAGGTGTGGTCCTTAATTCATTTGAACAAACTTGAATCCCCTTCACCCAAGGATGCTTTGTGATAAGTTTGGTCCAGTAGTTCTTGAAGAGAAGTCGAAAATGTAAAAAAGTTTACAGACAGATGGACGCCGGACAAAAAGTGATCATAAATGCTCTCAAGCTTTCCGCTCAGGTGATCTAAATTTGCTTTAAAATTATGTATATGTATGCACTTATAAGAAAGTTACTATATATAATAGGTCTTTCAACGTTCAAAAGAATAGTATGCTAAAATTTTGATGGAAATGTAAAATTTAAATTAAAAAAAAGCTGTTACATAGACTTATTAAAGTTTGATAATAACACTATTTTCCAGAGTTTTCACTCCATAAAATTGCCTCAATTTAGACACGTGTTACAGGTCATAATTGAATAGAAAAAAAAAGACAACCAGTGTTTAGTTCAGGTTTTCTTCGTATATTTTGAAGTGTTCAGTGAAGGTTTTCATTTTTCTAATACAATATCATATGTAATTAAATACCTATGCCTTTTTTATCCTTTGAGCAAACTATTAAAAAAAGCGCGTGAACAGATTCTCATTCAGAGAATAAAAGAATCATACACATACACAAAAGAAAAACGATCTCTCCAATACTAAAAATAAACATTGCATTCAAAGAAATAGGAACCATACATTAATGCTCATTTTGATTATGAACACATGAAATAAAATAAAACCAAATACATGCCTGTTATGAAAATTACAACTATCCCGTCGCAAGTCAGAGAAAACAGTTTCCTTGGCTTTCTACAAAATTCTTGGCGTAAAAACATACTTCTTTTTAGACAGGATCAAAGTACAACATTTGCTTTATCAGAATTAACAGAAACAAACTTTGCCTTAGGTCTAGGAGGCAACAAAGCATATGTCACTCAATACCCCGTTAATAATTTTTTGTATAATCTGACTTTGTTGGTTGTGGACTGCCCACTGCTGAAATTTCCTCTTCACCTAGAAGTTATTCCAGTTTCTCAACAATTAATACAAAATCATTATCCTATAGTAAAACATGTGACGTCACAGATCATGTTGACTATTGTATGTGTCGACGTCAAAAATAAATCTAGATCTAGAATGTTGCAGTTTTACTAGTCTATATTTCTATTTTGTTTTTACTAAATTTCAAAATTGTGCAATGGAAATGGGAGAGAGTTATTAAAGGAGAAAAAATCCCAGAGATCTACAAAATACGAGCACCGTACTTTGAGAAATGGAATGGCTAGAATTTGTTGATAAAAAAGCTAAACATAAATAAATTGTAAAACACTTCATAACAAAAGCACACCTTACCAAACACAACAGTTTATACATAGAGGCTGCCATATAATACAAGATACTGAAGGAAAAAATGGAACATTTTTGTTTCCACAAACTTTCATCTAAAACGATGACCCTAGTGCCAATCTTTCTTGATAAATCTTAACTTTTTTATGTAACCATGCATTTTCATATTTAATTTTTATGTAATACAGTAAGTGCCAAACATGAGAAGGTTATGCCAAAATGGACTTTAAAAGTGAAAACCTTTATCTGACGGAATTTCTTATCCGCAAAAGGCTAATTCTTGCGGGCAAGTCAGTAATACACTGAGCATATCATTGTGTGATGAGAGTTACCTCCCGTTGCCCGTTCATAGTTCATTTTGCTGGGAAGACTACTTGAATATCATATACCTATCGCATAACAAAACACGAGGTAGTTCTGATGGAAGTTTTGCTTAATAAGTGAAATCTGAGCTTCAGTTAAGCTCAGCTGCAAAATTGTTGAAAGATGACACATTTTCATAAGTGTACCCTGATCATAATAGCACACATTTTTGGAATGACAGGATATAGTCTCGAATCTTAGCGGCTCACAATTTTAATAATATTCCTTCATATTATGTAAACTTTTTTCTCTTGGCTTATGAATTGTGTCATGATATAATTAATTGAATAAACTATGCATTCTTTATATTCAAACTAACAAGTACACTAAAAATGTTGAAAAGGCTATTGTTGACGTGATGGAGGTCAAGGTCGCTAGTCTACTGGCTCCGTTTTCACCATCTTTGACCTGAGGCTTGATTGCTGAAAAAAAAAACAGAGGTGTAAATTAATCTCGGTGTGACAGATAAAGATCAGGCTCTAAATATTGTATACTGTTTCAGTGTTTCTACAGCAGACAAAATAATCACAGAAGACTCATTGCAGCTTTCATAGTTTACAAGAGGAACATTTTCAGCAGTTATCTCTCTTTGCCTATTCATTCTTACATAACGTTAGGAATCTACTCCACCACCCCAGCTCCAAATCAGATGACATAAAGAATCAAACATAGTATTAAAATAAGTCTTACTGCCTATTCAACATACATACCAAATTTGAACTTAGTAGGACAACCGTAGAAGAAAGTTAATAGATAAAAAACAGATATTTTGCAGAAGAATGGCAGACGGACAAACAGACAGATATATCCTTGCGAGGCCCTAACAAAAGCTCAATGATCCAACACGCTAAATGAGAAGATAAAGTCAGAACTTTGACATTTCATTAAATTTCCTTACGTTTCATTGAAAATCCCATTTTTGCCCAAAGGAATAATATCTGTGTCAATTTTGACTAAGCAGTATCAATTTTATAGTCGATCAAAAGCAATTTAATTATCTTGAAATTCTAATAATGATTCCAAAACTACCGATACATTTACAAAACTACCTGCATACATGTAGTATCATCATCTTTTACGACATTTGAGACTAAAAAGCTGGTGGTATAAGTAAACATATTTATAAGCTTATCAAAGTAAAAGTGACAGTGACCATCCTATAGCTAGACGTTCGACTGATTCTAACACGACTGGACGTGCAATATTCTGAGGAATGAGTTGATTTTGTCGCAATAAATACACATTTTACAACTGACTTCTTATGTGTTAGACAGTCAATTTTCTGAGAAATGATGGATTTTTTGATAATAAGTTTTTGAGAAAGGCGCCGATTTTGTGCCGGAGAGTCAATTTTCTGAGAGACGACTATGTTCGTGTTCGATAGTCGGTTTTCTGAGGAAAGAGTTGCGTATGTGTTCGATAGTCAGTTTTTTGAGGAAGTAGTAGAGTTTGTGTTCAATACTCGGTTTTCTGAGGAAAATGTTGAGTATGCATTAGGTAGTCAGGGTTACCTTTGAGTTAAATAGTCAGGTGTGGAGTTTGTGTTCGATAGTCAGTTTTCAAACGAAGGTAATAAGAATGTGTTAGATATTCAGTTTTCTGTGGAAGGAGTTGAGTTTGTGTTTGATAGTCAGTTTTCTGTGGAAGGAGTTGAGTTTGTGTTTGATAGTCAGTTTTCTGAAGAAGGATTTCAGTTTGTGTTCGATAGTCAGTTTTCTGAGGAAGGAACTGAGACTGTGTTAGAGAGTCAGTTTTCTGTGGAAGAAGTTTGTGCTTGATAGTCAGATTTCTGAAGAAGGATTTCAGTTTGTGTTCGATTGTCAGTTCTCACAATGTTCTGAAGAAAGATATGAGTCTGTGTCAATAGTCAGTTTTATGAGGAAGGAATCGAGTAATTGTTAGAGAATTTTTTTTTCAATGACTTGAGTTTGTGCTCGATTGTAAGTTTTCTAAGGATGGAGTTGAACATGTGTTCGTTCGTCAGTTTTCTGAGGACAGGTTTGAATTTGTGTTCGATAGTCAGTTTTCTGAGGAAATTGAGTATGTGTTAGAGAGTCAGTTTTCTGATGAAAGACTTGTGTATGTGTAAGAGAGAGTCAGTTTTCTGATGAAGGACTTGTTTATGTATTAGAGAGTCAGTTTTCTGAGGAAGGACTTGTATATGTGTTAGAGAGTCAGTTTTCTGAAGAAGGACTTGAGCTTGTGTTCAATAGTCGTTTTCTGAGGAATGAGATGAGCATGTGATCAATAGTCAGTTTTCTGAGAAAGGAGTTGAGTATGTGTTAGAGAGGCAGTTTCCTGATTAAAGAGTTGAGTATTTTAGAGAGTCGGTTTTCTGGGGAAGGAGTTGAGTTTGTGTATGATAGTCAGTTTTCTGAGGAAGGATTTCAGTTTGTATTCAAAAGTTGGTTTTCTGAGGAAGGAATTGAGCATGGTTCAATAGACAGTTGTCTGTGGAAGGAGCTTCATGAGTTTGTGTTCGATATAGCCAGTTTTCTGATGAAGGATTCAGTTTGTGTTTGATAGTCAATTTTCTGAGGAAGGAGTTGATTTTGAGGGAGATATTTAGAACATATGCGGACATTTGGCACCGATCGTTTTAAATATTACGACACGTTACCAGGCCTGGAAAACATACAAGTCCCGAAATTATGTAATATTAGACCAAGAAAACTGAAAGATCCGCAGTCGTCATTAGCTGCGATAATAAAAACTTAATTATTGTCTTACTTGGCATATCTATATGTCACTATCGGCATACGTACAATGCATATAACGTCGTTTAAAATACTCACAGTATCTGACTCCCTTCTCCGTCGTTGGTTTGGGTGTTACTGGTGATGTTTCCGGTTCAGGACTTGGAGTTGTAGGGGCATCTGTTGCCTTTGTTGTGGGCTCAATATATTGAATGCATTCATCTTCGTAAAAAGGACAAACATCCTCGAAATAATCAGGCACTGGCTGACCTGACCAAACAAAAAAAAAATAAAAGAATAGGAATTGGAAAATAGAGGTGTTTAATCTAAAATATATAATGAGATATAAATGCCTTCTACTGTGATTAAGTGGAATATTGGAATATAGTAGCTGAATATGCCTCTGGTTGAATTTTATAGATTATTCAAAATGGCGGGAAAATTTGAAGGCATACTGGGTAATCAGACGACATCCACAAATCACTTTGTATCTTAGGCAAATCATTAATCATTTATGCATCACTATTAAATAGTCTATGCTTCTAAGTGAAATTTAGATACTTTAAAAAATATATGGAGCTATTTATTTCTCTAATTAGATTGATTTGGGGAGGGGGAGGGGTGTTGTAATACGCTGTAATTGTCCCTTTCAACTACTGATTGTAAATTGTTACGAAACAATTAATAATATGCTACATGTACACCGTAGTGATTGTACAAGTATCATAACTCCTGTTTTATTTAACATTAAGCAGTCTGTATTATGATATAATAATAATGAAATAATTAACTATTTTTGGTTTTCATATCTTAAATTACAAACTGAATAAATTTGTACATTTACCTTTTGCTAATTTAGGAGACTTTTCACCACAGATGGTAAGTTCGTCTAAATAATTAATCGGATCATTCAAATACTTATTGACGAGCTCGCCATTTTCCTTTCTCTCTAAATATACAATAGTATCTGGTTCCTTTGGAATACTAGTATTGTGACACATTCCTGATGAGTCCTCGAATACACCTAAAATGTAAAAAAAAAAAAATAATAATAAATAAAAGTTAACAAAGTTAGTGAAACTTCATTTATATGCAGAATTACGTATCTTAAATTCTATATCGTTGTTTCTTTGTAGTAAAAATTGCGTAATTGTAAAGATCAAAGAACCTTTAGAAAAAAATTTGCTTAATATAAGTAAAAACAAGCAGTATAGAAATTTTGGTTTTGCATGCTCTAATATATATCTCGGCTAGCTGACCCAAATGGTGCAATATTGCAGTTGAAAGCAGAATAAGCAACTATTTTAAAATTTTGCAAAATTTAAAATGTTCAGAAATCTTTCAGTTTTATTTACTTGGCAGTGAGAGCTATTTTGGAACTTAATGAGAAAATAACACATCAGTATCATGCAGTTTGAATTACCCTTTGCTTTAGAGGATAAGGGAGCAATGAGCCTTAACAGTCACCTGAGTATCAAGAGTTTTTCAGGCTGTGACCACTTTACTCCCGCCTGGTATGGAACTCTTGATCTCATGTGACAAAGAGTTTAGTTTGGTTAGGACTCTACAGTATAATTATTATCAAATTCATACAGCTTGTCTCTTAGAAGCTCATGAGTAAAGAAGATATGGTTCACAATACAATAAATTTCAATATATGGCCAACTTTGACCGGTACCCTGGGGACATAAATTTACAATTTTTGTAGAGGGTTAAATGCTCATTATACTCATGCAAACAATTTACAATCTAGAACATATGGCCAACTTAGCCCCAACCTAGGTCTGAATCGTGGGGGCATGGAGGGGGAGGGGGGAACTTCTGGTAGAGGGCTAAGTGCAAACAGTTTTTTTCTTCTAGGTGTTCCCGAGTAAAGAAGTGCTGCGGAGAGGATTGGAGTGAGATAAAGGATTAAGTACTCAATGTAACCATATAATCATTTTGCCCATTATTTATCCTTTAAAAACGAGAAGTTTTCAAATATGTAATGCATTTTCAATATATATACAATGTATGACCAACTATATTCCACCCTAAGCATGGATCCCATCGTTGGAAACCACAGCCAAAATGTACGATCCTCTCCCATTCTGGAGAGAGCTTTATGCGGCCTCCGGACCGTGACTTGAGACGATGCATGGATCCTGGGGCCATGAATTTCATAATCTTGGTAAACGGTTTAGTACTTATTTAAAATCATGCCAAGTATGTCCATGTTAGAATTTTGTCACGTGACTCCAGAGTTCTAGTTTCAGATGTGGCCGAAGTGGCAAAAGCCTGAAAATCATGATGCTCACCTGGGTGACCGCCAAGGCCCGTGGGCCTCTTGTTTTTAATCATACATTTTTTCAGGTCTAACAATGTATTTTTCAATTATCAAATTAGGTTGAACGAAAATTATCTAGATCAATACATTAGTCACACTCATAAGCATAAGAGCATATACAGTATACACACATATATATATAAGCTTGCTGATATTTAAATTTTCTAATAAAAACTCAGTTAGGTTCAATGAAATGAATAAACAAGAATATTTTCATTTTTCATTGATACTTTTGTGCTCCATTTCTGCAAGGTGACCTAGGAGGAAAAGCTGATCTTTTCGTCGGTATATATCAGAATTTTATGTATGCACCCCGCCCAGTGTAAACCTGAGATGTATGTTTTCATTATCTCCGCTGCAGCCATTGTTTTGGCTTGGTTATTGTCATCGGAGATAATTTGGAACTTCTGTTATACATCAGCCGAGGATCAGCTCATTGTCCGCGAGAAGTAATGTTAATTAGGGAACGTGTATTGTCTATGTTTCATCTTTTCAAATCGACTTCACCGCCCAGCATGAGGGAAAAAAGAAGCCTTTACGATTTTTAACTGGAAACTGAACATATTTGAGCATGTGAGACTGTTCAGTATTAAGTACATATATTATGATATTCTTTATTACTGAAATGATATTTATATCGAGACTAAACATATAACTAGAAGCGATACCTTTCTGCAATAATAAATTGCACTTGTAGCTTAAAAGCATCACATCGCATCTTTATTAATAGCACATGTTCGGGGTTCAGAGACATTGTAATAAATCCGGAAATATTCAAGGTGACATATATGACTGTACCCCTCTGAAGCGAATACAAAGCGTTCAAACTACAAGGATACGAAGACTTTTCGAACATAACTGATGGAAATGAGGCATACAACCACACACCAAAAAAAAAAAATCATATGGACGACAGATGTGTAATTTATTTTATCTTACATGAGAGTTTATTGAGACATATTTTCCCAATAAATCAATGGCAAAATCTCTAATTGGTGAAAGAGCCTTAATTGATAGTGGCAGAAATGGCGCGGGATAAATACCAACCTTATTGATGAGATATTACATTTATGGGGTTACGAGAATTAAAAAATAATTAAAATTGATATTCTCTGTGAGTTTTGTTTATCGTGTCAACTTCTTAAATTCAACAGAAACTTCAAATTCTACTTTCCAAACAACAGAGTAAATACCTTTCCTATTTCAGAATAGTATCAAAACAATGTGTGAGTGCCTTATGAAGGTTTTCGTCGTTTTATAATTTTACTTAATCAAATAATAAATTAAGTTATTTGTCGTCCCTGCTTAAGAGAATTTTAATTAAAATTTCACAATATTTCGAAATAAAAACCTGGATTGGCAGTTTTAGATAAATCAGAATAGCTGTTTCGGTAAAAATAATGTACAGCTGAACCATAAAAAATGTTTGAACGACTTTGATTACTTCATTTTGTCAAAACAGTTCAAATCATACAGTCAAAAAAGCGTTTCGGTTATGGTGGAACATTTCAGAAGTACGCTGCGATTCTTCTGTAAATTACACACACCAATAAAACAATGAGAAGAATTTTTCCTGTCATAAGCATGTCTTTCTGAAGAGCACAAGGGGGTTATGTAGGAATTTATGGATTGTCTAAGGAAAAGCTTACTTCTTGGTTTTTTAGATTTATCATGGAATCTTGCACATTATCTATGCAATAAGCAGTCTAAGCCTGCGACATGCCAACATTTTACTAACGGAATGGCGTAAGAAGAGTGTCTTTAGTCTTCCTATGTTACTTTGATGTATTGCATAATTATACATGTATATATTTTTAATTATTCGTCAGGGTAGAACTAGTAGATACCTCCTAGAACACTCCATCAAAGGGTTTGCACAGTACAGCACTCGATAGCAGATGATAAAAGAAAATAAGGAAATTGACGGTATCGTCTAGCATGAGACAGGCATTCCTTGTATCTAATGGAACATACATGTATGTAATTAATTAAAAAAAAGTTTGGCTAGAAGCAACAAATAGGGTGATCACATAAATTTATTTCCTGTCGTTGTCTTTTAAATATAGTATATAAGTATGCACTAAATATCTTGATAAAATAAATATATCCAGGCACGCGGGGTCGTCTTTATATTTCGATAGTTTGCACGGGTCTGCAAATTTCGCTAACAGTTCAGAAAATCGAAAATGTCTAAAACCGTCCTCGTCATTTGGCAAATTAAACACACTGGTACAGGCTTTCCAAGGTTTCATGTGTGTAACTAATCCTATACTATACATTCCCACGGGATCGGGCGAGAATATCGGGGATGGAGTAGTTAATTTACTAAATTAGTCTGTCATTTCAGCATTATTGCTGCAAAAGTATCTCTGAATCGTCCCCATGTGTAATATTCGTAATGTAGAATTTCCGTCCCATCCAATGGACATTGTTGTAGCAATGTATCCTATTAAATGAAACCTTGTGGGGGGAAACGTTCCGTTTTCATGAAACACAAAACGACATGGGTGTGAGCTTAAAGTATTAGGGGGGATAAGCCCCCTTTATTTTCTTTGTCGAAATACAAGTGAAATGTAGTTTATGCATGGTATAAAATGAGTTTTATTAGACGTTGAAATCATGCGGTTTAGTCTAATGGGTACTAAAGCTTTTCAACAATTTCTAAAGATGTATTTACAATAAATGGTTTTTTTTTTTAATTCCACAGTGATATTTAGCCGCAAGATGAAAAATGTACTCCAAAAGTACGAAGATTAATTCACAAGTATTACTTTATTAAGAATTATCAAGAGAAAAGATAATTGACTGTGAGCTTCTAAATCAACGTGGGTAAATTCAAGCGATATATTGAATAATGGGCGCTTTTGTCTTTTCGACCGTTCGACGGTTAAATCGACAAGGAAAAAAAAAAATTTAACAACATGGAAAGATTTACCATACAATATGAACACTCAATCATGATGAATGTGACGAGATGAATAAAGATTCAGCACTTGATACCGCAGTTAAGCGCATTGATCGGTCAATACTTGCGTGTTTCCTAACAAAGATGAAAAGAAAAATATGCAAAATTTGGCTGCACGTCACATGAAGATGAAATGAATGTGGTATGTTGCACAAATTTCCAAGTGACGAAAGATTGATCTATTTTTTTTTAATTATAAAAGATGAATTCATTTTTCTTTTTTATCTTTTGACCTATTTCAGTCCTACAACACATTTTTCCCTTCACGAGACACTGTAACAAAATTAAAGCGACTCATGAATTCGTCCTTGGAATTTGACTGGCCCTCCCACACTTTATAAACTACTTCCAAGTCCATTAAATCCTACTTAATATTACCATTGTTGATGACTTATGCAATCTACAAGAAATTTACTAGTAGAAGCTGATGCAATTAATGAGATCGTGAATCTGCGAGACCCAGATGCTGAGTTATTTGAAAACGGCGGGATTCAATGAAATTCTCGCCAATTTTACCAGCCGACAGGATGGGCACAAATCATGAAATGAGTTTTTGATCTTCTTCCAGTGTGTCTCTTGTTATCTTTAGGGTTAAATAGCCAATCAGGTGTGAATCAGCTGGTCGTCTTTGAAGAGTTAGAATTCAACAGTTAAGTAATGGAAGATGCGCAATAATTAATTTTTCCCTTGGTATATACTTTTCATTTTGCTGGGACGCCCATTGAGTCATTGG